GAACTTGGGACCTTGCACTTGCGAGGCAGATGGCAGAACCACTGAGTTAAATCCCTGGCCCCTAACTTGTTTTTCTCTACCTAAGAACCACAATTTTTGTTGATTCTTGTCACTTTTTTTTTTTTTTTTTTTCCAAATGCTGGAGATAGAACTCAGTCTCTTACCTATGCTAGGCAGGCAGTCTACCACTGAGCTATTTCCCCAGCCCAGTTCACTTTTTTTTTTTCTGTTACTAGCATGAACATTTAACTCTTTTCATGATACTTTTTATAAGGAAACATGCTTTTTATCACTTTTTGAATATAATTGCACAAAACTATAAGGAGAGAGCAATAAATGGGGCTGAAGGGCCAAAGTCACTTCTGCAACCTGTCTGTAGTTTCTCAGTTCATATGTGCTATGGTGATATGATGGGCCTTTCTGTTTGTACTCTCTACTTCTGAGCCTGCAAAATTTCTCAGTTGGTTATTTCCACCAGCCTTTTGCCTCAGTATAACTTCTGTGCTTATGTTAGAATGATTTGTCTAAAGTGCAAATTTGATTCTTTACTTCCTTAATTCAGAGGGTCCTCAACACCTAGTGTTCTATAAATTTTCCAGTAAAGTGCTACTGATGTTGGAGGAACCTTTCTCAACTGGAGTTCAATAAGAGAATTAAGGCCTAATGCCATTAGAGATCTATTGTCTTAATTTTTTTCCATGGATCTAGAATGGTGCTAGTATGTACAGTCTTGAGGAGAACTGAGAAAACAGTCCCTCTAGTTATTTTCTTTGTTCTGTGGTTCAGATGAGGAACCCAGTTATGAAAGACAGGAGGAGAAAATGTCCTTTTCAGGAGGTCTAAGAACATAGCTAGGAGCAACTTCAGGAGCAAAACCATCAAATTTCATTGGAATCTAGGGTTTTATCTTTAAATTTTTTATGTGACTATTGCATTCTACTACATAATATGTTCATGGTTAAGTGTTTTTAAATATTTATCAATGAATAGAATTGATTTTACAGGAAGATTTGCCTGTGGTCTGTGGAACTATAAATACCCTTTTTTTTTTAAGCTTTATAGAGGGCATTTTATAAATTTTATTATTCAATGTCTCTAGAAAAATTTCCCAAGATCACACAATTAGTAAGATGTCAGAGTCAACTCTAAAGAAAAAGACTTTATACTCTTCAGGTGGTCACACAAAACCATGTGAAGAATGTCTAAGTCACTTTAAGCTTGGATCTTTTCTTCCATTCTCAGCCAGCAGCATAAACGGAAGGGAAAGGTTTAATAGTATTCACACTCAATAACTTTTAGGACAATTTAAGTATCAAAATATAATGTATCATATTTTTCATTTAAGGTCATATGTAGCAGATTTGCAATTTAGAATCCTCTAAAGGAAACTTATTGCATAAACAGTTCTATATAAATTTTGGGTTTATTTATAAATTTATAAACATTTCTTCTCTGTAAATTGTAATTGAAAGAATCATCTCAAAACCTAAAAAAAAAAAAAAAAATGTCCATCAAAGTACTAACCTATATTCTTCTCAACTCCAGAGCCCATGCATTTTCTACAGCTTGAAGCTAAATTGAATCAAGAACCTAGAAGATTCTTTGCCTCTTTCTAAGTTTATCTTTACTGGAATGTAGGACTTTGTTTTGGTTAAGTTACTATTGTGGTTCAGATCGTGCATAATTCCATACTTCTTATGCAGAAGACAGCCAATCCTTAAATATCTAAAAGAAAAATGAGCAATGGCACAGGTATTTCCATATAACAGGGACTCTTATCTCTTTGGTGTCTTAGAAACAAATTAAATGGCTTTTTTAAAAATAGCAGATATATTTTCCTTTTTGTCTTGATGGATATTGACGTATTGTTATTTCTTGAGTGATCTTCAGCGACATTCCCCCCCGCCCTGCGCCAATTGAATTCAGGGCTTTGTGCATGCTAGGCAAGCAGTATACTACAGAGCTACATCTTAAGCCCTTTAAAAATTTTATTTTGGGGCCGGAGATTTAGCTGAGTGGTTCCAGCGCCTGCCTTACAAGCGCAAGGTCCCAAGTTTGATCCTTGGTACCAAAAAAAAAATTTTATTTTGATCCAGGCATGGTGACACACACCTGTGAATCCCAGCACTGAGGAGGCTGAGGCAGGAGGATTGCTGCAAGTTCAAGGCCAGCCTGAACTACATGGCGAGACCCTGTCTCAAAAGGGGGGGGAGGGATTTAGCTCAGTGGCGCCCTGCCTGCCTCACAAGAGCAAGGTCCTGAGTTCGAGCTCCTGTACCAAAAAATAAATAAATAAAGGGCTGAGGGTTTAGCTCAGTGGTGCAGCAAGCAGAAGGTCCTGAGTTCAATCCCTGGTACCAAAAATAAATAAATACATAGTAAAAATTTTTTTAAACTAAAATTATTTTGAGACAAGGCCTTGTTAAGTTGCCCAGGCTAGCTTTGAACTCACAGTCCTCCTGTCCAAGTAGCTGGGAGTATAAGGATGGACCACCATGCCCAGTGGAGCTGGGGTTTTTGGCAAGAAGAAACCATCTTACTATTAAAAGTTTGATTCCAGGTAAACTCCACATAGATGATGAGAATTATCTCCATTTGTGTCTGATTACTCAAGACACTTGAAAAAACATACATGTTAAAGTACCTGGATATTAGATATTGCCCTTGTCCCCAGTGTGACATTTACCTAGTCATTGGTGATCCAGTTTCCACTAGATGTCCAGAGGGAAAGTCCGGAATGTGCTGGCAGTGATCATTTCAACACAGAATTTCAAAGTGGTCTGAGACAGTACTGAAATAGGTGGAGCCACGGTGACTTCGTTACCTGGCTAAACCCAGAATTCCTAGTTCTTCCAGAAATTTTGAAATTTGGGAATCTAAGGACATCCTGAGAGTCCTGTAAGGTTCTTTTATCTGTAATCTCCTACCTCTTTTCCTGATTTAGACTCTTTCACCATGTGTTACTAAAGATTGCATCTTAGTGTCTGATACTCTTTGTGGGGGGTGGGGTACTGGGGATCAAACTCAGGACCTTGTGCTTGTGAGGCAGGCGTGGCACCACTGAGCTAAATCCCTGGCCCCAGTGTCTGATACTCTTTACATTAAGCAAAACAAGGAAAGAGTTAGACTGGAAAGTCAGGAGTTCATATTACAAGACATGTCGAGTCAAAGGAGGAACTTAGCAGAGAAGCAGAATGGAAATCATTTCCTAAGACAGTAGACAAGTATTCAGGAAACACCTCTGCACCCCAAAGATAGGCACAGCTGCCACACAGTGACTGTTAAAGGGAGGTTCAAAGTTATAAGCAAACAGCTGATTCTCTTGGTTCTTGGGCTGTTGCTGTTGGTGACAGGAAATCTTGTTCCCCAAGCGGCTGGCTTCCTGTTTTATTTTTACTTGTAGCAGATCAGAATGTCCATAACAAGGAGCAGTCTGTTCCAATGGTTTCTACTCCCTCTTTGAGCTTGGATGGCTTTTTTTTTCCTTTTGATCAGACAATATGTTGGTTCACTTTTAAGATCTATGATGGTTAGTTTGACTTAAGCATTTTGTATTCACAGTGAACTTATTTGGTGATGAGTTGATGTTTTAATATTTGATGTAAGTAAAACTTTATTTTTTAAAGAGACATAATATTGGGGACTACTTGTATTTGTTGCCTTTATGCCTTCTCTTTTTTCATTTGATGTGAATTTGCCATTTTCCCTAGCACAAAAACCATTAGGCCATTTCAGATTTCTTTCTTTTTTTTGGTACCAGGGATTGAACTCAGGACCTTGCACTTGTGAGGCAGGTGTGGTGCCACTGAGCTAAATCCCCAGCCCTAGATTTCTTGAGTTGCACAAGATTTGAAAACAAAACAAGCCCAGTGTGCCTTGACTGCAGTCATACCCATTTTGTTGAGATTGAAACCTCCTCCTAAATCTGTAAAGTTAGAAAATTTTAAATCTAAAACAATAGCTCAGTATGAGCCTGGAGTGCTGGGGGATTTCCTAGGAAAAGGGACTCATCCTAGGGATAAGAAAGAGTAACTGAAAAGTTTCCAGGGCTGGGGATTTAGCCCAGTGGTTTCGCTGCCTGCTGCGCAAACACAAGGAACCGAATTCGATCCCCAGTACTGAAAAGAAAAAAAAAAAGTTTCCAGATCTACTCCAGACACTTCCTGCTATCTCTAGAGCCCTTTGGCCTAGGTGTATTGAACCGGATGGGAAGAGAAAGGGAGTTGTTGAGTAGAAGAGAAAGGACCAGGGAATCTTACAGCACAGTTGGCTCAGCATCATGTTTGACATACTGAACATGTAAAATTTTCCTTGATATTCTTTCATTCTGTCAATTTACATACTAAACTTTAGTAGTGTTAATAGATACTGGCAGCTAGTATTTAGTTGTACATTAACAGTCATCCATCCAGGAAGAACTGGAGAAATCGTCCTGATGTTTATCAATGGAATGACTGTTGGCAGCTTGATTTCATTGTGGAGATTATCAGATGACAGAAGCTCCTTTTTGATTCTTACAGTAGGCGCCCTAGAACCTGATCTGTTTTGGTTATGGACACCCCAAGGTTACCATCCAGTGTCTGCTGAATGGTAACCATGCCTCCTTGCCTCTGGTCATTCTTAGTTGGAGCAGTAATTGTCACTTTGGGGTTTTCCTGCTGCCTCTGTACCTCAACTAGCAGTCACCAGTTCAGAATTTTTAAATTTATATGGCAAGTCTGCTAATAGCAAACCTTGAAAAAAGACTTGAGGGGGAGGTTAAAGAAGAAAAAACGGGGAGAGTAAAGGTTTTTTAAAAGCTGTTTTAGGGCCGGGGATTTAGCTCAGTGGTTCCGGTGCCTGCCTCAAAAGTGCAAGGTCCCAAGTTCGTTCCCCGGTACCAAAAAAAAAAAGCTGTTTTAGATCAGAGTAAGACCAAAAGAAAAAAAAAAGGACTCATACAACACTAGTGTGGCTGGAATTTGTGGTTGAGTAATACTTTCCTGTTACTTCTTTTTTAGGTTGTTTCTCATCATTCAGAACGTTGCCTGAAGCGGGTCCACCATGCCGTTAGTAACGAGGAACATTGAGCCAAGGCACCTGTGCCGTCAGAAGTTGCCTAGCGTTAGAAATGAGCTGGAATGCGTGACCAACATCGACCTGGCAAATGTCATCCGACAGCTGGGCAGCCTGAGTGAGTGCCTTGGAGAGCCTGTGCTTTGCCCTCAGGGCTCATTGGTGCTCTTTATTTAGTTTTCTTCTCCCCTGTTCCTATTTCTCCCCCATCTGCCTTCCCAAGGTAATGCAAAAGTACATCCCATCCCCCCTTCCCAAAGAAAAGTTCCTTTTTTGGTACAGACTCTTCCCCTCTACCCTTCATGTACCACCACCCTCTAGGTTCCCTCTACCTTCTCCTACAGCTGCTTCAAAAGAAATCTGTGGGAAGGGTGGCAGGAAGAGCTGCAGCAAAAACTGCAGATGGAATGACAGAGCAGAATTCTCTGTGTGTAAAGTGGGAGGTTCACAGAACACTGTCTTGGGTTGGGAAATGTGCCTGTAATTACACGAGCTGTTCTATGTAGCCTGACTTTGTTGAAGTCTCAAATGTGCCAATAGTCTTTATCTACTCAACACCCTCCCCTCTTTCTTCCCAAAGAAAAGTAGAGGAAACATGTACTCAGATTCTGGCCGACTTGTCTACCCTGGTACACATTTAATTGTACTGCAAGCCCCCAGGTCCGAGTTCAGGGTACAAATTACTTCTGTAGTCTCTGGGGTATTGGGAGTTTTGCAAGCTGCATGAACATGGTGACACAAATAGTAGCTGAAGCCATTCTTCTCTAGGAGAAAGATGGGGGTTAGCCCAGTCTGTTTTGGAGCTGAAAGAAAGCCAGCACGACTACATTTTTTTCTTTTAATTGCCAAGAATGAATGAGACTGCCTTGGGTGGGGTACATGCATGTGGTTTAGATTTCATTCTGAATCAAGCTGACTTTATTTGCTTGATGCCAAGGTACGTTAAGGACAGATGCTTGGATTGGCTCTGTATTTGTCTAGTACCCCCCTTGCTCTCATAAGCATCTCCAGCAAAATGCCATTTTAGTGATCATCCTTAGCAGAAGCATCTTGGTGTGAATTATTTCAGACACTCACCCCTCCTATCGAATCACTGCCCTTAGTGAAGGCAGTCAAATATCAAGATAGCCTGCATTCCCCCAGATAATAATAGGCCCTGCCTTTCAAATAGGAGCCTGAAGAAACAGAGCTCTGTGACCAGATGATGTATGGAGTTTCAGATTCCTAAGCCTTCACCTAGCTCAGGGACCATCTTGGTTGATCCCGGGCTTAGGGAAACCTGGATGGGGCATCACGAAGAAATGAAACCCTGCAGTGCCTGTCTTATACAAAGGAACATTGACAGTAGCGCAACAGCAGTGCAGCTGACAGTGAGGTACAGGAAAGCTGCAGAGAGCCTTACTGCTTTTTAAAAGCATTATTTCTGCTTCTGTCACCCTGAGAAGGCCAAATGGGTGGAAGTTGATCACATACTATTCCTTCTCCATAGGATAAAGAGCATCTAGTTAATGATGCCTCTTACTCTCACTCAGCAGGAGTTATGCTTCCTCTCAGGTGTTTTTCCAGGGTGGTGTTGATGGAAGCCGTTTTGGACTCTCCTACTTGTACTCAGATCACTCCTGCCTTGAGGAAGCCAATCTGAGGGCCAGAGATTTTCTCACATTATAGGTCGAACTGACCCTTTATTCATCTGCTAAACATGTATTGAGCATATTTCATGTGCTGTGCTGAGAAGATAGAGTGATAAATGCTTTCTGCCTTCCAGGAGCTTATAATCTACCAGGGGAAACAGCAATGAATTATTCATACAGGGAAGTCACATTTCTTGTCTGCTAAAAGCTAAGTTTTGATAGGATCTTAACATAATCTCATTTTATCTTTTTAGTAAACATATGGAGATAGGAAGTCATATTCCCATTTTTCAGATGAAGAAATGAAAGCTCAGAAAACCTCAAGGCCAACATGGACTATACAGTGAGATTCTGCCTCAAAAAACAAATAGACAAATAAATAAATACTTCTTTGAAAGCTGGCCAGCCAGCACTTTTGATCAGTATTGTGACCATCAGGAGGATGGAACCCCCACTTGGGTCATTAGGAAATCATACTATGATATTGGGTTTTCTGACTGTATTGGGGTAGAATGGCAGCATGTGCTAACAGGACTCTTACTCAGACTTCAGTGAGAACAGCTGTGTATTTTTAAAAATCAGTTTTACCTGTTCAGCTTTCATATAACATTTCTTTTTTTTTTTTTTTTTT